CGCGTAGGTGTATGTATAACTACCCGTGAGGATAACGTAGAGTGCTAACGATCCGGTCGACCGACGGACTGGGCGAGAATGCATCCAGCTCCGACACTGTTGTTTAGAGTAACCGCGAGCACCATTTGTTTCTCCTCGATGCTACAGGGCCAGGAGGAAAGATGACACGAATAAATGCACAGACGGTGATATGAATATAATCGACAGCTATTTCAAAACCAACTTTCACGGCACAAATTTCCATATTTCACATTGGAATCTTTCTCAAAGCATGCGTCCCCACTCAATCGCCTCACATTCCTTCTTCCCACCCTTTCCACTCGTCCATCTCCATTCCCCCTCTCAGCGGCCCGCACGGGGCCCACGGCACAATTGGCTCTGAAGCGCCGCAGTCGCCGCCGCCAGCCGATCAGCGCTGTAAGCGGTCACGTGACCAATGCCGCCGCACGCAACCGCTGTCGACAGGTCGCCAAACAAACGGCTCGGGGCCGGGAGAGGCGGACAGCTTGTTCGCAGCCGCTCCAAACTGGTGCGGGGAGGAACCGAGTGGCCCCGCCGGCAGATGGACGGGCGGCGATGGGTGTTGAATGGACAAGGAATTGAAGGGAGCACGTGCAGCAGAGGCAAGACAACTCCACAATGTGCGGACACTGGACTAACGGAAGTGCACGACGCTGGTCAAGATTGGCTGATCTAGGTCAAATAAAGACGACGGATGAAGTTGATTGCTTCAATTCAATATAAATTGATCGCAGTTTGACATATTCGCAGTTTGGTCGAGGCCAAACTGATGGAACTGTGCAAATGCTCCTTAGGCTGTCCGGCAGTCTCTGATGCCAGCTTCATCCTAATGAAGGGGAAGAGAAATTGCAGTCAGGTGGCTCACATCATTACCCAAATAATCTATGACGTGAACGAGAGACTCAATGTGAGCCACATTCCAGCAGCCTCAGCTGCCTGGCATTTTATCACAAAATACCTATGGTGCATAAAACTTTCACGAAGGATGGAACCCAGAGCGCAAAGAGCACGGTGGTGAAATATACGTCACAGCACGCACCTCTCTTCAGCAGCCAGCAGGTGACGACACATCTGCAAAAGGTTGCTAAACTGAAACACGGCTAAATCACTGACGATCCCTCGGTGGATCATCACACGAAATCACGACAGAAATTCATACCACTCATTGAGCCCGCAACCAGGGTCTCTGGCGGTTGGCTGTCATCTGCGACACGAACTGTTTGGCGTGAGGCCTCGGCCGGGCTGCGTTCCTATCTGGGCCAGGAGCGCTGCAGGCCGTGGCTGTGAGGCGTCCCTCCACACCCTGAGGTCAGCCCGGCACCCGCACACGTCATCGGCCCGGCGGTGATGACGCCGCGACGCGACAGGCGACTGAAGAGAGGACCGGGGCCGGAGGCGGTAAGGGAGGGTCGGTAATGAAGCCCGCGGGCGTGTGATGCGATGGACAGAGACGCCGCAGTCGATGGCAGACGGAGCTGTCCGTGCGGAGTGACGCCGTAACGGTATGTGATGGGACGGTGTGGTGACGGGTGTCTCAGTTCAGAACGATGAAGGCGAAATGCTGGTCAAAAGGGAATTTGATGACATTTGTACGCGGTAAGGGATTTAGTATGAAATATGACCGCAAAGAGAATTCGAAGCGATATCAATTTATCCCAGATTTCATAAAAAATATGGTAAAGAAGAAGAAGCGGTGGGCCGGTACTTGAAAATACTGAGGTGAGCTCGGTCTTTCATCTGTGGTGAGCTCTCAGCTCTGTATCACTTCGAAATGCGATGAGTCGCTACATTAGCACGTATCGGGACTTTTCAATTGATCACTCATAGACCTCTACATGTAGAGACCACTCATAGACCTCTACATGTATGTAGAGGTCTATGGATCACTACTTATGAACAACGAACTATCGCGCCACGGCCCCAAGCGAAGGCTCTGTGCTGGCCGGTGTGGACCTGGTGACGTCGTATCCCCCATGAGCCATGCGTATCATGTGCCGAGCCAGGCTGTCAACGGCTGTCACCCCGGTGTGAGGCCATTCGGACAAGGGGTGGGAAGAGGCAGCAGCGGACAGGAGCGGGGGGGGGGCATGGGCATGACAGACAGCAGCGGGCAGGAGTATGGGACCAGGACAGAGGTTAGGAGGAACGGGAGGCAGACCCGACCAGCCATGGCAGTGAATGAGGCACGAACTAGACAGGATACCAGACAGGGTTCGAGCGGAAGGGAAGGATCAGCGACTACCGCCGGTTCTATGGAAAACCATGTGCGGGGACAGCCCCGATATCTTATGCCGGGACATATAAACGCTCGTAAAAACCAGCACTGAACAATACTACCGGCTGTGCATCGCACTATCGACTCAAGAACAAAACCAGTCTACGACTCCGGCTCGGTTATTTCTACAAGTGACTTCGCAGGCACCGAGAGTCACCCTTCATTTGACTCTCATCGACCACATGCCGTCCTTGCAGCGCATCGGAGCATAACGTTTGAGACAGATCGATAAATAGGCCGTTATTGTGAGACTGGTAGGGACATTATTAACCTCCGCCGCGTCCCGATGGCCGTGTACATAGCGATTAGCTCAGTCGACACAATGAATTGGGGAAAATTCGAGTTTATTTGCAGAGGAACGACCCCGAATTGGTTTGGCGTAATTCGTGACATGACTGGCGACCGCTCCGTCGGTGGCATAGGGCCCCCAGTAGTGCCTCACTGCATAAACGGACGTCCGAGCCGCGTGGGTGTTTGAACGGCGGTCAGTCCCCACCTCGCTGCGGCCCCCAGCGAGCTGAGTGGACCTTGGACCGGGACAGGACCGGGACCGGACCGAGGGAGCAGAATCTGGGTGTGCGCGTGGAGGGCACATAGAGCAGACTGCAACAATATACAGCGGGTCACAGTCAAACACAGAGTGCCAGCGTGATTGATAGCACGCATCAGTTGGTCCTACAGGCAGGTGGTCTTTTATGGTGCCGGCGCGGCAGTATAGAACATGACCATTTTTCTTTCACGCATAGATAAATACACGTAAGATCAAATGAGGCTTGACCACCGGGACAGGAAATAAAAATGAGATGTGCACGTTCTTTGACTATTTGAAACGCCTGCTAATTCATCGATTTGCAATAGCCAAGCTATAAACCGCTTATGAAAGCTGAGAGAGGGCAATCAGCTTAAATTTAGCATGAAACGTCCATGACTCAATAAATTTCTGAATTGTTTCTGATGGGTGTCACCACGGAGTTAGTAGCTTTGCGAAATACCGAATGTCCGAGGAAATTAGTGAAGAGCTTTAAGCTTTAAATGATAATGATCAGCCATGAAAACATCCGACTGACACCCAGAGAAGGCTGCGTCACGAATAGCTCATAGAGCCACCTTTACGAGTCGACTCGAGTCATTTGGCAATCTTATGTCTATGTAGAGAGTAGGCAACAATCAACACATCTCTGACTCCGTTTTTACCAGGCGAAAATCCCAGTCGTTTATATGGCACGACGAGCTTTGGCCGCACATTGCGTCAGATTTCGTCTGTTAGTTCTGCTGGGTCTTGTTGGGGATGTTTCATGAGATAACAAGTCTTGGTCCCTTTCAATTACCTTGTCAATTTTCGTGATAACATGAAACGTAGATCTCACTTGCGATGACCCAGCGGTAAGCTCTGTGTCCACTGTTTAGTGACCCCTGTGGTCTTTTTATATAGTAACGAACCTGTACCTAGTGGCGGTCGGCGGATAAATACGACAAGTACCTAAATGCCTTTCTGAGAGGCGTTATGTCCAGTCCAGCTTTCACATTTACTGATAATGAATGAGTTAATGATTTCACATTTAATGATATGATAAGTAGGGTAAGACATCACGCCGACACACATTCCAAGCCGCAACGTTTCAGGTGTCCTTTGAATGTTATCCAATGAGATGCGTTGTTTTGGTTCAGAAAATGTCGTTAATTGGTGCCAACGACAAAGATGTTGGCTAGAAATCAGTCTTCACATCGGAACAGATAAACCCGTTTTTTTTTTTGCGCCGTTTGGAAAGGTGAATTGGTAAGCAGGTTCCCAATACACCATTGAACAGGATTTAATGTTTTAATTCTTTTGTATCCCTTTCTTTATCTTTTCCGCTCTTGTTCCCTATCGTGTCTTCACTCTCCTCCCCTTCTCTCTCATTTTCTTTCCTAACAAGATAGCTTACCTGGCCTTTTTGCTCCCTCCTTGGGAGTGGCATCTAATCAAGGCATACCTCACGAAATGATCCAAATGCATTTAAGAGATGATTAATTATTTTTCTCGTAATTAAAATCATCCAGCAGAATTGTTTGAATAACATCGAATGAGTTGTAGGAATCTCGTTTAGCGAAAAATGATGCAAAACATATCAGCAGGCAGCTATGTGAAAACGGCACTAAATTGCCCCAGGCCGCGGTCCAGGTGCCGCTCAGGGTCTGTTTTGCCGTCAGTACGCAGTGTTCAGCGTTCACAGAGGTAGTTATTAGGCTGAACGCCGTCCGAATCCGCCGGGTGTCTGACGACGAACTGCGAGTTAATGATTTCACATTTATGCGAGCAGCGTGCGCGCAGACACTAAACACTGACCGCCAGCCGTCGGCGATTTATAATTCATCTGTCACCGCTCCACCGACAGTTGGACGGGACGAAATACGGTGGTGACAGTGGCAGGACAGCGATAAGCCCGCGGCCATAATCATACTTCACCAGGGTAATGCGGAAAGGGTACGGCGGAGACAGCGGCGGCGGAGACGGGCGGCGGAGACAGCGGCGGCGGAGACGGGCGGAAAACCCCGCCGTCAAGAGCTCCCAAACAGACGAATAATCGTCAGATCACATCTCAACCACGACCGGGATTATTGCCGGCTATAAACACCAAGTACCGCGTCAGCGCCTTATTCCATTTCGCGAGACGTTTTCGATTTCACTGCTCCCGTGCTATGGCTGGTTCGTGTGAGGACTCACCTGGTTAACTCAGCGGGGGCCACAGCTCATGCTCCGTCAGCTCACACCTCTCACAGTTGGCCCTCGGGCTGCGGCGGCTCTGCCCCGCGGCGGTCACGCGCTACACGATTCGCCGGCGGCACTGGCAGGCGCCGTTCCTCGCGCGGACGGCCGGGCCGCGAGCGCCGCAGACCTGCAGCGCCTCTGGCGGCCGCCGGGCCAACTACTGTCGCAGCGCGGCGACGGAGCTGCGCCCGCGGAGGCGGCGGCCGCTCCCGGGTCCCGGCGGCTCTGGCAGTGACGGTTAGGTGGCACCGGGGCCCTGTGTTATTGTAGCACCGATAGCTGACCGACAGGCCTGGACCCGTGGTCGGCCAGCTATAACGGTTCACCAGGGAGCGGCACAAGGTCTGACGGGAGCAGAGTCGCCTGCGCGGGACGTCTGCCGTGGACCGCGGTGGCGGCGCTCCGCGGCACCAGGGGACGGTCCGGTGCTCGAGTACTTACAGCCACAACTGTGTAGGTAAATACATACTTGTAACAGGCAGACAGCAGGCCAACGATTAGAGCAAGTCACAAGCAAACCGGCAGGCAAATCTCACCAGCAAATCTCACGATCTGGCAATTATGCAGATCTCACGAGTCACCCTACATGTTTTTCAGTAATCGCGTTCACCGCTTACGTTTCACAGACAGCTCGTGATTTGAAGTTGCTAATTGCCATTTGCTCCAGGTTAGATCAACAGCGGTGGATGATGTGACTTTTGCTATCAAATTCATATTTTTTCTTGTAATATGGCAGGGAGAGATAAAACATCAAGAGTAAGAACGCACCTACAAATAAAAAAAAAATGGAGAAAAGCCCATCTAAACGATCTTTCACATATCAGTCGCGCATTTGGGCTTGGACGTCGGGTTCAAGTCGGGTTATGTGTGGCAAATCTTTAGTGCAAATACGGAAAATTAAGAGATCATTGATAAAGACGTAGGAACGTGCCAAAAGTGGAGGCAACCGTCTGTTTCCATAGAAGGTAGGCATAGTCCACCTTCCTATCAAATGACAGAGAACCGAAACAAAGAGGCACTCGTCCGTATGGTTTCCGTCACAAATCTGGGCTGAGCCTGGGCTAATCCCTGATGTTAGCGCCGCCCAGCCGCCTTTCAAGTGAGTCTTGTCACGCCAGGAGCGTGTGGCATTGTTAACGACAGTGCCGGCCCCCACTAAGGGCGTGTTAACAGCGGGAAGTAGTTAGAAGTAGTTGAACGTCTTTACTCTTTATGTTGGCGGTGGACTCCCCGTGCAGTTTCGAGGGTACAAGGACTATCACTTCAACCTCTGCACTACGATTTAACCAACCCCTGAAATTTGTTATTGCTTACATTCTGATAGAATATTCATCAGACAAGAATATTCATTATTTCTTGGGCCTTACCCTTCAACTATTGTATGCACAGGGGTAGACAGCTGTGCTGAGTTGGGATTGCACGGGCGCAGCAAATGCGTCGCCGCCCTAGCGGTGACCTTGACCTCCGTCGTCTGTTGCGGCTTCAAAGCCAAGCCGGCGTGGAATTGGGAAAGCTCGTGCCTTTCCCATCTGGCACAATTGTCCACCGCTGTTTATACGAGCGGTGGACAATTGCTACAATTGCTCGTACAATCCTTATTTCTTGAATCCACGTTACCAAGGTCCTCAAGCTACTCATCTAGTCCGCCCGGCAGGGACGGAGCTTCCTATTCAGTTAGTGGGGCGGCTGCCCCACTAACTTGCCATTTTGCCCCTCCAATTAGCGTTTAGCTCACCTAGTTTAGCTCATTTGTAGGACTTTGTTTCTAAGCAAACCAATCTTATTCGCATTGAGGAGCTTTGAAATGTCTGTGTAAAACAAAATATTATCCCTGTAATGAAAAGCATTGATTAGGTGTTGCACTTAATCTAACTTATCGATTGGACATTGTAGGTTTGACGACTTTTTACCCCACCAAATTTCCTGGAAAAGCTAAGCTTCACCCATACTGGTTGGAGAATACTGAACTGCTCCTGAAATATGCAGATATACGAGGACTCACAGACTCACTTCAGAACACCGTGATTACAATTGTTGTCCTTATTTTCGTCAGGAGGAAGGAATAGGAGGTCACCATTTCCTTTATCGGCATAGGCGGATGTGTGTTTTTTATGCCGTTCGGTGGCGCCGATAGGTTGGACACTGTTGTGCAGCGTCGCAGCACTGAGCACTGATCGAACCCGAGGGGACTCATGTGCAGAGCTAGGTCCATCGTGCTGCGTAACTTGGTTGTCTGATTGTCCCGCCGGGCCCGAACGGGCTGACTTCTGGGCAGCGGACATCAGCGTCTGTTTAGACCGGAGGCAGTGAGCCGGACCGAACGAGCCGTTTATACAGAACCGGTGCACAGAGGGCCCCCGTGATACCGACGGACGGGGAGGGGCAGGGAGGTCGCCCCTGTGACCCAACGGAGGCGACAGGCCGGCCCGCCAATCGACGAAATTGTTTTCCGGCCAGCAATCAGTAGGAGGACCCCATTAAGTGGGTCATGCAATATGCAGTGGTAATCGCAGATTAGTCCCGTTTAATGATAACCTGCATAAATCACTTTTGTCGGCTGGCGCACGCAAGAGCGCGCGGTGGCGTCAGTCAGCACTGCGCCTCCGACTGGCTGATGAAGTCGTCCAACCGAGGCGCGGTCGGGTGGGGTCGCGGTCCGCCGCTGGTATGACGTGTTGTCGACCTTTGTCTGCGCGCCCCGCCCACCGGTGTGATATGACAACGGTACAGACCGACCCGGTGACCGATCAATCAGCTGCGAGGCACCGGGACTGTCTCTCGGTAGACCGTCTTAGCGGGACCGTCTCAGCGGGACGGTCCGTTCGAAAAGCAGAGCACCGACTGGGCCGCATGAGAGCCGAGCGCTGAATGAACTGACATACGAGTACACCTGGTAATTTATTACAGCCTTTCATATTTTGAATTGAGCTATCTAAACAAGTGAGGCTAAAAAATGTAGAGCGAAACGCACAGCAAGTTGGCCATACAATGTCGGATCGACACCTTCAGATCTATAGCCTTCCACAAACGCTAGCATTCCTCAGCAGTCAGACCCATCGCCGGCCGCTCCTCCTTCACAGCGCTGGCCGCCCGCCCTTAGGTCTCCAGTTCCCCACTCACCCACTGCCCCTCGGGCCGCCGCCAAACGAGCCAGATCGCTGCGGGGCTCAGCAATCAATGTGGTGTCATCACGCGAGTCGAGACTTACCGAGCGTCGGCTCTGCGGCATCAGCTGCCGGCCGGTGGTCTGGGGAACGCCCTCCGCCCACTATCCACCGCCCGCCGCCCACCGCCCACCGCCCTTCGCCCACCAGTAACTTCCACCGCCCTCCGCCCTCCATCCACCGCCCGCCGCCCACCATCCACCACCCACCGCCCACCGCCCTCCGCCCTCCGCCCACAGGCAACTTCCACCGCCCGCCGCCCACTATCCACCGCCTGCCGCCCGCGGCCCACTACCAACCACCCTCCCCAATCACCGCCGTTTTCTGTGGATGCTACCCCGAGCAGGCAGGCAGCGGCCGGACCCTGCAGGTGCACCGAATGGCAGCCATCCCACTCCGATGCCATGGTCGTGACATGCGGCAACTTAAATGATGCGACGGAAGTCTCTGGCACCTTGTTTCGGTGTCAGCCGGATTACATATTGCTTCCAGGGTTATGCAAACGCGGTGACGCGGTCGTATGCTATTGTTTCATTTGAGTTAACGTGATGGCCACTCACTAACTCCAGCACTTCATCTGCGGGTTTCATGCAGAGAATAAATGGACCCGGGAAGTTTGTGGCTAGAAGTTGACCTATGAAATTATGGGTGAACGAATAGATAAATGAGATTGTGGACGCCATGAAAATTTATGGAGGTAGGTAGTAGGTGCTGTCTGTCAAGAATAATGGGTACTTATTCAGTAGGGAGTTTATTGATACTTATTTATTTGCAACATGCAACATAAAGGAATGAGAAAATACACAATTCATTTTTTATCTATCTAAAGCTAAAAGTTTCCCGAATTTAATGGGTATGCGGGTATAAGCAAGCATGCCTCGGCGCTTGGTTTCCTCGTCTTACGTGCGGCGTTCCGCAAGGCACCGGAGTATTGCGGGCTAGTCTACGGTTCCAGGAGCCGGCGCCTGCTGGGCTGGCCGGTAGACTTCGCCTGCGTGATGCTGATCGCTGAACGCTGCAGACGCAGTATATCTCAGCTGAATGCCTACAAAATACAAATATGATATGTCCATATGCTCTTGCGAAAGTATTCCGTATCGATGGGTGCCAACGCGTTCTCAACTGCCTTGCGTATTACCGCTTATTACAAGCGAGCACGAAGCGCTAACGGGGTCTTTTTAGTACAACGGAAAATATCAGTAGGCATTGAGCGGCACGGCCTGTAACGTTTTGAGAGGCTCATATCTCTGCAGCTGCTGGTCATTCATCACTCGTGATTCGTTCCTTGTGGCATCCCCCAACCGTCAACCAGCCACAATACTCAGTAGAAACCACGACACCTGTCTAGCCCTTTCCATGCCGTCTCGGCAGCGTGGAACCCTCGCAGCGCGCAGCGCTGTCGATGTGTGTATGCCGACCTATACCCCGCGCCGCACCCATGGCTCTATTGGCCCGTGTGGCCGTCTGTCGTCCGCTCTGTGGCCCACTGTCGCTCAATGGCACTAATAGTCGTGGGCTCCTCTCCAGATGCAGCCGCCGTCGAATGGCCCCCGCGGACCGCAACCGGCCGTCACCGTTTCATTAGCAAACTAATGGCGCAGACGGCAGCATCGACCACTGAAAAATACATGGCCACAGCGATGACAGCCGCGACGCGACGACTGTGAACGGCGAAGGAAAGAATGGAGGCCCGCGCTCACCATTCCCGTGTACCCAGGAACATGTCTTACCTACCGGGAATGTTTGTCATTCACACCATTCCATGTGGAAAATTTGTGGTCATCGCAAACTGGTATACCACCCATATCAAGGAAGGAATGTGAATATTGAATAATGAACAGTGCAAATTGGTTTGACATACCTTGCCTAGTCTGTAGATATCACCATTTTCCCATAGCCGCTTTATTGATGCAAATCATTTGATATCGTGGCATAATACATTATTCAGCCAACATGCCTCGTTTATTTTGGGTGTGCTTATGCAGTACGCTTATTGAAAACGCGGCTTAGCCCATTTGGAATCGCAATGAAAATATCTATTGGGGAG